TTGGTGGTCTTAAAATTTGAAAAACCATGTGAACAGTGCTAATTGACAGGACTTTTTACACAAACATTTAGCGAAATTATTTTGAGCCACATTATTTTTAAGAATGTGTTTTGAAATAGTAAATCGATAGAGAATGTGTGGTTAAAAAAAAAGGAAAAATTGTTGATGTGATGAAAAATATTATTTTATTAAAGAATGTATAGTTAAAAATGTGTAAAAGAATGAGAATGAAAATTTTAATATAGTTTAAGAAGCTTAGGCCCCGTTTGACACCCATTATTTTGAAGAATGAGTTTTTGAATAGTGATTGATGTAAAAAATGTGTGGTTAAAATGTAAGAAAAATTTTTGGGTTTATGTGTAATATTATTTTATTTGAAGAATGTGTGGTTAGAAATGAGTACCGTAGAAAAATAAGAATGAGAATAAGATAAAAAATGGGTGTCAAACAGGGGCTTAATATGCTTAAAACATGGGTAAATGTAAATGGGGTAGTACACACAGCATAACTCGTATCCTTTTATTCCATTTTTTTTCTACTCAAACCCCTACATTTACCAATATACCCTCATAAAGCAAATGAATGTACATTACAAATCTCAAGGGTGTTTCTGTAACTTCATTTTGCTTGACTTTTGTTTACTGCTGTCCGCGAGTGGCAGCCTTTTTTTTTTTTTCCAGATATTTGATATTTCCAAAAAACAAAGTCAGAGAAAAATAAAAAGTAAAAAAACTCCCAATTTCTTCCCTTGTAACTTCCAATATTTTTCTGCACATACTCCTCAAGAAGAATAAGAGGACTTCAATTTTTTTTATCAATGTTTTACCACAAATGAAATGCCATTTTGTTCATCAAAATGCCTCCAAGAAATCTCCCATTTCTTCTTATTTCCATTTATTTATTGCATTTCCTCATTTTATCTGCTTCAAAACCACTAAAAGAACCCATTTTGAACCCAAATTCAGCTCATTTTTCCAAGAAAGCTAAAGGGTTTGAAGAACCCACAAGAAAGAGCATAAAGTTGGAATCTTTACAAAGATCTCAGGTGATTCTCAGTGGAAACACAACAATTTATAGTGCAAACAAAACTTTTCAACTTGGATTTTTCAACCCAGGTCATAATATCAGATGGTACTTGGGCATTTGGTATGCTTCAATCCCAACTCCCACATATGTTTGGGTTGCAAACAGGGAAAATCCCATCAAGCATTTTTCATCAGCAATAGCAGAAATCAGTGAAAATGGAAAATTAGTTGTAATGGATCAAAATTCAAGTACCATTTTGTGGGAAACAAGCAATGTGGAGAAAGCAAGTGATTTGAAGCTTTTGGAGCAGGGAAATTTAGTGTTGTTAAATGATGAAGGGAGGGTTGTTTGGCAAAGCTTTGATTTCCCTACTGACACGTGGCTGCCTGGGATGAACTTGACAACTCAACAATGGCTGACTTCTTGGAAGAGTTCAAGTGATCCAGCGCCAGGAAGGTATTCTTTGAGGTTAAATCCACCTGATTATGGTGAGATTGCTCTTGTTTATAGCAATGGTAGTGTTAATAGTAGTAATTCTAATTCATATACTTACTGGACTACTGGGAAATGGAATGGAAATGCATTTGATGGGGTGCCTGAAATGACAATTCGTTATATATATACATTTGAGTTTGTTAATCCTTTTACTCCCATGGCAATTTTTGGGTACACAGAGTCATCAGCAGATGGTGAAAAACCACCCTTAACGAGGTTCGTTTTAGACCACAGGGGGCAGCTGAAGCAGTTCACTTGGTCGTTGCAGATCGAGTATTGGAACATGTTTTGGTCACGACCTGAGAATCTGTGTAGAGTTTATGGATTGTGTGGTGATTTGGGGTTTTGTAGTGTGAGGACGGGGAGTCCTTGTACGTGCTTGGACGGATTTAGGCCGGTTAATGGCGTTTCATGGAATGAGAGTGATTTTTCCGAGGGTTGTCACCGGGAGAGTGATGTAATCTGTGGCGAGAATGAGGGGTTTGAGGAAGTCGGAATGGTGAATTATGAGGGAGCAAAAGTCGTGTCATTTACTGCGAGTAGGAGTAAGTGTGAAAGCGAATGTTTAAGGAATTGTTCGTGCATTGGTTTGTTACACAATGTGAGGAGTAATTTATGCAAGAATCTATATGGGTCTCTTTTTCACATATGGAATCTTACTTCGGATAGCACTACTGACGAAAAGTTATATGTGAAGGTGCCAAGGAATAATGCAGACAAAAAGAACAAGAAGATGACTGTTTTCATTGGAATGATTTGTGGGATTCTCGTGATTCTGAGTCTCGGAACTATAAATCTGTTGTACTTGAGGAGGAGAAAGGTTAAGAGAAGAAGGGGGGACGAAGATGGTGCGTTTCCAGTAACGAATCTGAGGGTTTTTTCTTACAAGGAACTCCATGCTGTTACTAGGGGATTTTCCGAGAAGCTCGGGCATGGAGGATTTGGGGCGGTATTTCGTGGGGAATTATCCGATTCTTCACTAGTGGCTGTTAAGAGACTCGAAAGACCTGGTGGTGGGGAGAAGGAATTTCGGGCAGAGGTTTGTACTATTGGAAATATTCAGCACGTCAATCTGGTTAGATTAAGAGGGTTTTGTTCTGAAGATTCTCATAGGCTTTTGGTCTACGATTACATGCCGAATGGACCTCTTAGTGTTTACCTAAGACGGGATGGTCAGAATCTAAGTTGGGATGTCAGATTTCGGGTTGCTGTAGGGACAGCAAGAGGCATCGCTTATTTACACGAGGAGTGTCGAAATTGCATAATACACTGTGACATAAAGCCCGAGAACATTTTATTAGACGAAGATTTCTCAGCCAAGGTATCCGATTTTGGCCTAGCAAAGCTCGTCGGGAGAGACTTCAGCCGGGTTTTAGCTACCATGAGGGGTACGTGGGGATATGTTGCACCCGAATGGATCTCTGGTGTGGCGATTACCACTAAAGTTGATGTGTATAGCTACGGGATGACATTATTGGAGTTGTTAGGCGGCCGCCGTAATGTGGAGGGGCCACCTTCAGCCAGTGGAGGTGGAGAGGGTGGTATTGAGAAATGGTTCTTTCCACCCTGGGCAGCCAGCCAGTTAATTGACGGTAACGTGACAGCTGTGGTCGATGAGCGGCTTGGTAGCACATATGACAAAACTGAGGCAGAGCGCTTAGGGCTGGTGGCTGTATGGTGCATTCAAGATGATGAATCAATGAGGCCTACAATGGGGATGGTCCTGAAAATGTTGGAAGGCGTAGTTGAGGTGGCTGTTCCGCCACCGCCGAAGCTGCTTCAAGCATTAGTTTCCGGCGATTCGTTCTGTGGGATCGGGGAGAGGGTATCACAAGGCGATGCTCCCGGAAGTTTTAATGATAATGTCCTAACCTCCATAGATCTCAAGGATTCTCAATCATCTATGTAGCTTTTCTTTCTCAGCTTCTCCGTGTTGAAGTGACACAAATTAGAAGAGGCAAATTGGCTCTTTATGCTGTATTTTCTAGTTGACATGTGGAAGTTCAATGTTGTTTTGCAGCCTGTTTTCCTCCAAGTTCTGTTGAAATTAATAGAAATTACATGCAACCATAATTTTTAGACATCACAATTCAAAAATTAGATTTAAAGCTTGTTTATACAAAAATCAAATCTTAAGTCAAACTTTTAATATTAATAATAATATTATAAAATTAATTAATCTACCCTACACAATTTCTATCTCACACCCTAATTATATCTCTCACTCCTTTCTCGCTTTAAACCTCTCTCCTCACTCCCCCTTTCTCTATCCTCGCGTCGTGTGATGAGCAGCCATGGGGTGCAGTGCAAGTGAGCGCATCGCACATCAGATCTGAGCTAGCAACGGTGTTGCAAGTGCGGCGACTGCACTCCACAAGTCACAATGTTGCCTATTTGAAGCAGTGATGGGCACTGTGGCCACTCTGTACGGTTCGTGGTGGTCCTTTCTAATGAAATCAAATTCAAAAAATGGAGGCAGAGTTGTGACTATGGCGTGCGGTTCTCTCCATACCCATCTCTCTCTCTATTTGCCGCTCGACGCTTCTGGACGCTGCGAACTCATAGCAATGAAATCCAGTGGCGTCGCCGTTGGGTGCCACGATTGGGTAGTGGTGGTTGTGATGTTGGCGGTCTTGTAAGTTGGTGGTAGTCATGGCGTGTCATTGCGGTTGCTGCAAAATTACGACATGGTTGTGTGATAACATTGTTTTGAATATAATTTTTGGGGGTGGTCTTTAGGTGATAGTGGTAGTGGTGGTGGTTGTAATGTTGGCTGCGGTTAACCAAAAATTTTGTTAAATTGTGACCAATAAATAATACGTGATCTAAAAATGTGATTATGACTCACAATTTATGAAGTTGTGATAGAGAAATAATTTGTGATCGTTAAATAAGTTGTTACTTATAAAATTTATGATTTGTGAGCTATAAATTTTTTGATTTGTGATCGAGGAATAAATTATAATATATAAAATTTTGATTTGTAACTTATAAATTTTTTTTTTCCGTGATCAAATTGTATAAAATTTGTGATCTTAATATAGTTAATTAAGGTAATAAGCACATAACGTCCTCGATTTACACTGTTATTGTGGAAAACGTCATTACCCTTCATTTTTTATTTTTTTTTGCATTTTCACTTTATTTTCACATTTCATTGCGCAAAATATCATTTTCATTCATTTTCTTAATTAAAAATTGTGAAATGACGAATATATCATTCTCTATAAATAAAACAAAAATAAAAAGAAAATAATTGCAATCATAGTCCCAAATTTTTTTGAAGAGTGCAAATGAGTCTAAAATAAATTATTAAAATGGGTAATTAGCACACAATGTCCATACATTTCACTATTATTGCAAAAAAGTCCATACCTTTTTTTGACATTTTCGTCCTTAATTACACATTTAATTGCGCAAATCATCATTTCTATTTATTTTCATCCAATTTCTCAATAAAAAGTTGTGAAATGACGAATATACCCTCATATTTAAATAAAAAAAACTAAAGAATTAATTGCAATCACAATCCTAATTTTTTAAAAAAGTGCAAACAAGTCCCCAATAAATTATTTAAAAAATAATTTTTGTAAAAAGTACAAAATGAGTCCTAATTAAATTTACTTAAAAGATTTTAAAAATTGAAAAGTGTAAACGAGTCCAAATAAATTATTAAAGAATTATAAATTTAAAAAATATTTTTTATTTAAATAGAATGGTATATTCATTATTTTACAATTCATTATTGAGAAATTGGATGAAAATTGATGGAAATAATGGTTTGCATAATCAAATGTGTAATTAATGGTGAAAATGTCAAAAAAAAAAAAATGAAAGGTATGGACTTTTTTGCAATAACGGTGAAAGATAGGGACATTATGTACTACTTACCTTTTTAATAATTTATTTGTGACTCATTTGTATTTAAAAAAAAAAATTTGGGAGTATGGTTACAATTACTTTTTTCCTTTTCTTTTATTTAAAGAGAAGAGTATATTCGTCATTTCATAATTTTAATTGAAAAAATAGATGAAAATGATCTTTTGCACAATGAAAAGTAAAAATAAGGGTAAAAATGGCAAAGCACTCAAGGAAAATATAGAACGAGATGAATATAAATGTTCAAAATGAATTTCACACCTACTTAGAAAAATGCCCATTTCTATATCGGTTCCGAAAGAGCTACAATTTATTTCTTTTTATTGCTCTTTGGGAAGTTAGTTTGCAATTAATGCCCTCCTAATTGTTGATTGCACCTCACTCATATCTTCTCTCCATCTCCATCTTCGAGAACGACTTTCTTATTGCTTCTAGGTGACGAGTGAGATGAGATTGATCGAGTTGGAAGCTACTATCGAGAGGCTCTTAAATGGACTTGTTTACAAGTCTCTTAAGAAGAAACAGGTTTTTTTGATCTTTGCAAGAGTAACTTTGAAAATGACATTCGACAAAATAAGTAACTTAAAAGTAAATTTACAATCAAACATGATGTGGTCCAAAATTCTTTCCAAAACTACCCCTAACCCAACACCCAAGTCAACAAACTATAGTTAACCAATGATTCTAACTTATACAAACCCTAAATACCCCTCGTCCTTGCACCCCTCGAAGCACACTCAATCCTCCATACTTTTATTTTTGAATTTTGAGATCTCTTTCCCCCACCCCACCCCAACCCAACCCAACCCAAAATATTGAATTCCACCCAGTGAATAAAAATGAAACTTGTGCTGGCGAAACAAAAGCCCAAAATTTAGGCCGTAAATATCAAGAATTGACATCAACAAGAATCAAGAAAATGGAAGAGTCAATCCCTAATAGTCCCTCAAAACCCTGAAAATTCAATTCCGGGTACGTCTCTCTTTTTCTTGCAAAAAGTTCCAAGCTTTCATTTTTTTCTAAATAGAGTGACCTGTCTCTGTACAAATATTGAAAAGAGACCCATTCTCTCTCTCTCTCTCGGGTCCTTTCTCTGTCAACCGAATCGAACCACGAGACAGAATGGCAGGATGAGCCTCTACCCCCTTTAACATTTATTTTTATTTTTATTTGTACATTCTTTTAATAAAATAATTTTATATCTAATTTTTTATTTTACCAGAATAATAACCTTTTACAAAATTTATTATAAAAAAAAAATCTATGTCAAATCCTCTCTGTGGGATTTGAAATTTTTTGTCATGGGGTCTAAAGAATTTATTTGAAGAATCAAGACCCTAGATCAGTAATTCAACAACAACTTCTTCCCGCTAAAACCCCACCTAAAAATCAATGCTTCATTTGCCTTCAAGTGTTTTTGTCAGAGGTCATGAATGAACCCCTTCGTTTCTCCTTTTTTGCTTCACACTGTATACGATAATATGCATGTTCGCTATGTTTGGATGTATTAGTATTGATTTACTGTGTGTATATATGAAAGAGATTATTCCATTTAGACTCTGAATATATAAAATAGTTAGTTGATGGATGGGTTTGGTGTAGAAAGCTTCAATTATCATCAGAAAATTGAACCCTATTCCAAATGGTTTCGTATATTGCAGAAAACAGTGAAAATAATAGTGATAAAAGGCTTATTTTCTTCTTCTTTTCGAACGATGTTCTGTCTAAAATTGTTACTGGGTTTTCTTGGTTTATGCCATTACCGTTTAAGATTGATGATGAGCAAAAATTGATTTGTTGAAGCTATATACTTTCTGAGAAAAGGAATGGTTAAAATGGTGTGTTCATGGAGTTTAATGGCTGCAGATAATGTGGGTTTGATTTAAAGTTGGTTTTGCTTTAAATTTTTTTTTTTTTAAGTCCTCAACTTCATTTGGTTGAATTGTTCATATACATTTTACAGGCTTGAGGATATAAAGGAAGTGAAGATTGGTATCAAGGATTGCGGTTTTGATTTTTTGTACTTTTTTCCAGTGAATCAATCAAAGATAAAAATAAAACAGACGGGTAGTTTGTGAACCTGGACTTTAAAAAGAATGCGTTGGACTCAATGGCTAATAGAGGATTGTTTAATAGTGGCGATGGTTGGGTGTTCGTGTTATCATCTAGTGATGATGAATATGTAAATGGAGAGGAAAATAATGGAGGTACTGAGAATTTTGGTGAACAGAGAAATGGTGTTGAGGGTGGGAATGATGATGATATGGAAATGAAAACGAGTGTGGTTGATGAAGGTCTTGCTAGTAGGAAAAGGAAACAGGAATGCTGCTCGGGCATGCTGGATTGGATCATTAAGGTTGCTAAGAATCCTTGTGACCCTACAATTGGGTCTTTGCCTGAAGTGGATAAGTGGAAGTCCTACGGATGCGATCTGCTTTGGAAGCAGGTTCTCTTGGTTCGCGATACAATGCTTATAAGAAGAAATGCCAATTCGAGCTCTCTACAAACAAATTTGCAGGTGTACATCATATTCTTTATTCATGTCTGTATACAATTGAATGGGATAATGTTTTTAATAATTGTCCCTAGGCAGATTTGATAACTTTCTACTGCTTTATTTATTTAGCAAAAAGTATTTCTTTACTTGCAGCTATCTTTTGCCATGCTGCATTACAATGTACATTGCACTTATGATACTTGATATATATTTGAAAAATGAAATCATTTATCAACCTTTCAATAAGCCTCAAATATTTTATTTTTTTTTATAAATAAAATAGTGTTATCTTCAATGCTCTTCAATAGCTTTCCTTGACGTTCATAATTTCACTTTGTAGTTTTTCTGTGCTTATTTATACCTTTATTTCATCTAGTTATATACAATTACATTATTTTTCGTATTTCTAACTTTGGTAGTCATTAAAATGTTTATGATATTTATTTAATGATTGAGCTACTATTGCTGCTTGTTTGATGCAGAAATATGTTGTTTCTTTTGGTTTATCTGAATTTTGCACTGGTCATTATAACGCATATCTTGGTTGGTTTTGATATTGAAATGCTTTTGCAATTTGTGTTGCAAGAGTGTTGTAGATTTTGGTCGAGGTATATTCTTTTGTCATTTCACTTGAGTGTTGCTTCTAGGCATTTTATTACTGGATTTAGGTTTTTGGGATATTTTTCATGGCTTAGAACAAATTATGTTCTTTTATTTTATTTTTGTGCCTTTACACAAATGATGAGAAGAAACTGAGTGAGAAGGATGACGAATAGGCTAATCAAATATAGTAGAACCTCAATAAATTAATAACCTCGATTGAGTAATATTTTTGGTTGGTCCTGCCTTGAGGATAACATGCTAAATTAATAATTTGCTTAACTTTTAAGATTATACAATTTTGAAAAATTCATATAAATCTCACATAATATTATTTGATAGAGACATCCTAGTACTGTTTGTTTCTTCTCGAAATTAGTGTCACGTTGGATCTCATTTCTAACTTTTCTTGCCATGGTAAACAGTTCTAGTGTGGTTTTCTCATACTGTAACAAAAAAGTATTCAACGTCATTACCTCTTTGAAAGTTCCTTTTGACAAACTGGGCTCCGTAGTCGAACTATTATCTTCAACTTCACCATCTTGATCTTTTCACATGACGCTGCCAATTATTTATTCATCATTGAGCATATTAGAATACGGAATACCTTGATAAGTTAATACATTATTAATTAATCGTAGAAACTTTCTATCCTTAGGAATTCAATACACTACAATATAGTGTCTATAGAATATAGAATTGGATAGAGTATACGATTTCAAGTAAATATTGAATAGGATATAACCATTAATGTAGCTATATAAAAATTTGATTTCTTTATCACAATAATGATATATTAGTATAGTAAATCTTAATTATTTTTCAATAGCTAAATTTTCATTTTCTTTTTGTTTTGATATTTGCTAAATTAATAAATTTTCCTTGGTCTAAGGCTATTAATTTATAGAGGTTTAACTGTAGTTGATGATTATCTGGAGGATCCTATTAGCAGTAATAAAATTGCAGATTGTAGGTTGTTTTTGCCTCTAGTAATAGTGATGGAGATCAGGATAAGATAAAGATAGAAGTTAGATAGAATTTTAGTACATAGTTCAATTTGAATTATAAGATTTTAATTAGATTAGATTAGTTTGTCTATTTTGATAAAATTCTAGCTGAGTAGAAGTTCGTTTATTTTTAGCTTCTTTTAGATTATTTACTGTATAAATAAAGGCTTAATCATTATAATTCAGAACCCAAATATATGAAATAAAATTGATTTCCTTTGCCTTCAATTCTTCTCTTCTTTGCACACTTTCTTTCCGTTCCTTGTCTTGTTCGTTAACAAATTATACGATCCTGCTTCAAATAGATTACCATTCTAATAAATTGAGAAGTAATTATATGCTACTTTAGCGATCTATTTCATGTTTTTTTGCTAGATAGATTTTTTATTTTGTTTTTTTTTGAGATGATTCATGGTATATTATGAGTATAATTTATGTATCCAGACGTACTTTGATTCTAATTACATCAGTACCTTCCAGAAAAAGCAAAAGATGCATCCAAGCTTGTATGATGATCGAAAAGTTTCTGAAACGTTAAGATGCAGCGAGAGGCTTCTATCTGCAAAGAATTCTCATAACAAATCACATGATCGAATTGGTGTGGAATCATTGTCCTCAGTTTCTCATAGTGATGAGGATTGTGCTGATGAACAGTCTAATTCAAAGGCAGACTCTGTTGGTTTTGCTGGAAACTTTCATCGCAAGAAGAAAATTCCTCTAGGTCCACTTTTTCAAGCAGATGTACCAGAATTCTGTGGAGAGGCTTATGAAATTGATTATAAATGGTTGGGTACCCGAATTTGGCCTCTGGAAAAACAAGAACAAAACAAAAATTTGATTGAAAGGGATCCTATTGGAAGAGGAAGACAAGAATCATGTGGCTGCCAGTTCCCAAGATCTCTTGAATGTGTCAAGTTCCATGTTGCTGAAAAAAGGAGGAAGGTGAAGCTTGAGTTGAGCTCCGCTTTTTATAAATGGAAATTTAATTGGATGGGTGAGGAAGTTGCACTCTCTTGGATAAAAGAAGACGAAAACAAATTTCAGGATATAGTGAAGTCGAACTGTTTATCTTCAGAAAAGTATTTTTGGGATGAGCTTTTCAAGTTTTTTCCTAGAAAAGACAGAGAAGCGCTGGTGAACTACTACTACAATGTTTTTCTTCTCCGGCGTCGAGGTTACCAAAATAGGAAAGATGCAAATAACATTGACAGTGACGATGAGGAATCAGAATTCGGACCAGTGGGTAATAGATTTGGACGAAAGGCTGCTAATTCTCCAGGGTCCATTTTTTGTACCCCAAAAAAATCTCGCTAGAATATCAGATAGGTTCCTGGCGCCTGAGAGCTAGTTTCAATTCAAAGGGAATTCTAGAACTTGTAAATTGAGGAAGTTTTTGCATTTGGCATTGTTCTCATTCACAATTGCCAACAAACTTCATGATGCCCGTTTTGTATATTGGAGATCGGCAGATGTGCTGCATGGTAATGGAAATGTTCATTCTACGAGGTTAGTGCAAATTTTGTGATCAAATCTAGTTGATTCTTTTTACATTCTCAACAGAAATCTTGTCCACTCATTACGAATATCCACATCTAATTTTGGCTCTCCTTTCATATTTTGAGAAACAAGGATGTTGCAAGTACTTTCTGTTTTTCACATTTCGTTTTGAAACTGAGTCAACTGAATTTTTCCGGCTTTTACATGTTGGAATGTGGCAATTATTTTGAGCCCGATATGTACATGTGCAATGACGAAACCAGAACCCTTATTTTGGCAACCGTGCACTTGCTTTCTATTGGTCGCTAGCATAGTTTCTTAAGAGTCTTGTTTTTTTCCTTTCATTTTCTTTCCCATGCGCAGTTTGAGAATTTGGTTCTAAAAGAAGCTCCTTGCCGCTCGTATAGAGTTTTATGAAGAATTATTTATAGATTTCTTTTCAATTCCAAGCTTTTTCTATATAGAAATGATTCTTTTTTTTTTTTCTCTTCTTTTTCTGGCGAATAGTTGTAGTTATTGCTAACAATCTTTTGAAAGAATTTCGCAAGAAAGAATTATCTAAGGATATGTCTGGTACACACTGGACAACATTGTACAAGACAAAATATAAGATTTCACCTTCTACTTAATAATAGAGCCAAAAAGGCAAGTAGGCTCTTGACATTTAGTTGCACTGCACATTAAGATAAGATAATGGTAGAGGTAAAAAGCTTTCTATCCAGCGATGGGGCAAAAAATTTGTGGCATACTCACCATATTGTATGTATACTTATGGATAAGGTTTTAAGCAGTAACCATATTAATATGTGCAAATGTTCTGATGTGTTTTACTTGGTTACAAGGCCAAGTTTGGACTTCTTTATGCTCTGAATGAGACTTGTATTTTCTTGTGAAGAATTATTAGATTGTGTAACATCAAGTAATATCATCATACCTTTAGCTCGTTTTGAAAATATTAAAAATTTATAAACTAAAACGAAGGGCTTTCAAAAGATCTCACATTCCTCCCACTTGCAATGGGAACTGATGATTGCTAGTGGTTGACTAGAAGTTTGAGAGTTGAGTATGGAGGTATTAAAATTTGTGGGACTGCCCCAGATTCGAGTGGACTGGCGTGGTCCTACAGTCAGGTCAGTACATGCACTGGGTATGTTGAGCCGAGACCTTTTTAGGCCTAAAAAAATGGCCCATGTCAATACCTCGAATCTGGCAGTGCCGACTGATTGACACCTCTAGTAGGGCAGACTAGAGAGGTTAAAGTAGATTTACAGTAGAATATCTTGTGATTGTTCTTTAAAAGAGGACTTTGAATGTGTTGAGACAACATTTGGCCCGCAAATGAAGGGTTCATAGTATCTATGTGGTTGTAGTCTCACGGTCCAACCCTTTGTTTTATTGGCTTGTTGATGCACATGAAAACAGGTGGGGTCCATTCCTAATATCATTTGTGGTGCCATACATTTTGGGTAAGGTATAGAATCGTACTTGATGTTCACTAAAACGTCCTCAATGCAATTATAGGACAGGTCTTTTCCAGGTGACACGGGATTCAAACTTGTGGTTACAATTTAGTTCTCTAGACCTAATCTTGAGGTGGGTGATTCCACAAAATTATAAGCAACTTTTAATAGAATTCATCCTTAAACCAGCTTCTAAGGGAAAAATACTTTAATATATAAAAGTCACGTCACGGACCTTTTACAAGTTATGTGAAATGTAGAAATAATCACTAAATGCACGTGTATCAAGAAGTTTTATAGATAGTGAAATTTCGACTTTTACCATAGAAATAATCGCTAAACACACTTGTATCGAGAAGTTTTAAAGAAAGTTAAATTTCGACGTGTTCAAATTTTGAATTTATGTTCTCAGGGCCATTTGCATGACTTTTGGACCTTCTAAAAATTGTTTAAAGTGTTACACATAATTATTACATATGTATGGATATATTTTTAATTTTATTCCTTATAGGATATATTTGCATATAATTTGTTATACATAAGAGTGGCACAAGATAAACATGTCAAAATCTGTAGAGGTAAACTAGGGTAACTAGTAGATAATGATTTATATAGTCAAAAATCATAAATTTATTGTCGTAGATTTATTCATGCTACTTGATTTTGATAAATGGATTTGATAGGGACACAAGAACGTACAATTCCTTTCGTCGAACGCATGATAAACGGGGCGAACACGGGGAACATAGTCCCCGACCTTGTCCCGAGTCTTTTTATTTTATATTTCTCAAATCAATTTTTTTATAATATTGATAAATAATTAATAAAGCATAAATGGGGATTTCGTAATTTTCACCTCGCCCTGCCCGCCTTCCAAAAATCTTCAATAGGATAGAGACAGAAAATCACTCCAGCCCTATGGGATAGGGAGCATTACCCAAATACTCACTAAACTTTATAAAATGTTTTTACAAGGTTACTGAACTTTAAAAATTACTTCATTCATCACTGAATTTTGTCATTCGTAATCCCGTTCATCACTGAGCTCACGATCATTTATGGAATACCGATGTGTCTAATGACGTAGCACTACAAATCAGATGGTGGATGCCAAATAGGAGAAGTGCTACGCACATGAATTTTGAAAACATGTATTCTTAAAAAAAATTTAGGTTTTAAAATCGTTTATCACAACACGGTCCCCAAATTACCCAACTGGAATTCTAGCCTCGCAAGCCCATCTCCAGCTGAACATAGCCCAAGACATTTTGGGGATGCATCTATTACGATACCTCAAGTGGTTGCAATTTTTTTGATTGGTTTGATGATCCAATTGCTTCAAGACAGAAAAGTGTCGTTTTGTACATTTGTGTGTAGTGAATGCAGATTGTTTTAGTTTTCTACTTTCTTGTTTTGCTTGTGATTGTTGGTACTGCAAATGACGCATGGCCTTACGACAAATCAATTTGATAAACTTTCATGATGTTACCACAAATTCGAGTTTGAAATTAAGTTTGACGACTTGATGTCATATCTGAAAAATCTACACCTTAATAGATATATCGATAGTAACGTCTTTACTCATTTTAAATTTGGTGGGCTGCCACCTTCGAATTGTAGTTCAAGTCAAAACAAAGTGCACACTTTTTGTTCGTTCAGGGTTCTTNTTTTTGTTCGTCCAGGGTTCTTACAATCCAAACAAAATAATGTGTCACAACACGTACTTAACTTTATTAAGTACGTTCATGATGTTACCACAAATTCGAGTTTGAAATTAAGGTTGACGTAGCATTTAAGAGATCTATACCTGAATAGGTATATCGATAGAAACTTCTTTAATCATCTTAAGTCGGTGTTTGGTGGGGATTAAAATTAGATTTTTAGTAGATTGTAATAAAAGTTTTTAAAATGTGTAGTTGAAAAGTTGTGGGACCCATGAAATGTATGATTAATATTGATTGCTTGACTTTGATTTAGATTAAAATTTGATTTTAATCCGAAATAAACAGGGTCTAAATTTGGTGGGCTGTCTCCTTTGAATTGCTTTAATTCGTTTGAACTTTGAAGTTTGATTAGTTCAATGAATCTATAATTAGATTATTCCAGCCACGAAAGATTAGGTTCCAAATTTTTAATGTGCCTATTTCACTTTTTTTTTTTTAATCTTTTTTCACCATATTTAAAGAATACTCCTACAATATCCTTTTCTTTTTTTTTTTTTTCTCAAAAACATATAATCCTACAATATATAATTCGATAATTTTTAGTCCATTTTTTTTTATAAATATAATCAATTTTCAAGAATAATAACTATTAAGGATTTTGATTTTAATACTTTTGTTTAGTTGATGATAAAATTTATTTATTTTTCCCCTGGAAATCTTTTCAATAAGATTGGGAATTTAAAGGAAACTTTTCAACTTTAGATTATTAATTCTAAGTAAAGTGGGAGAAAATTTAAAAGAAATATTGCTTCAAGTTTAATTTATAATATAAAATTATTTTTAAGTCTAAGTTTATTCAATTCATCAGACGATACGACATGTATTCTAAGTATTTTAAAAAGTTCTAAACGACAATATTTACAATAAAACTCCCCTAATATCATTAGGTATAAGCAAATCGCTAAATGTTATGTATAGTTTGAACTCTTAAAAACAAATTGTGATTTTTAATTTTTATTTTTGAAAATTTGTTAGGTAAAATGGCTTTAATCAGAAATATAATTAATTCGAATAGAAATCACATTCAATACGTGGGCCATGAGTACATTAATATATGTTTGCAAATGATATTTTATTCTAGAGGAATTAGAGCAAGAATCTTGCTTCGGCTTTGTTTGGATAAGTTAAAAAATTACTTAATAGAAATTATTATGAATTAAGTAAAAAGTAACACACACACATATATCGTTCACCTCTATAATAATATTAGCCCCCGTTTTTTTATCATTTTTCATCCATAAAAATGAAAAATTTGACCGTTATCCATCATATAAAGTCATCAATTTTGAATTTCTATATCTTGTGTGTGGTCCAATAACGACTATATTTTTCATTCTCATTCTACAATAATGAGAATCAAACAGGCCTAGTCGAAGATGGAGAGGTGGTGATTTATCTTGCAAATGTTAGCAATGAAGTACACTTGGATATAAAAAGTTCAATTAAAAAATATATGTGTATATATAGGTCAAAAAATCTGATTTTTGAAATGTAAAAGTTGTTTTGTTATTTTTGAAATAGGGTAAAGATAAAGTAGGGAAAGTGAATTTTTCCCTAATGAGAATCAAACAGGCCTAGTCGAAGATGGAGAGGTGGTGATTTATCTTGCAAATGTTAGCAATGAAGTACACTTGGATATAAAAAGTTCAATTAAAAAAAAAAAATCACCATTTCTCAAGCTTGAGCTAAGCTTAAAAGATGCTTATAAGTCTCAAAAAGTTGCTTATAAGTTTTTTAAGCATAGCCAAACATGCTAGCTAATTATCATAAATGTTTTTCTATATTACCTCCTTTTTTTCCTCACTCATGTCAGAACTCCGTTGCTTCATACAGTTGTGCAAGTAACCCCAACCTCCACACCATTTTCCTCTCTTCGGCGAAAAAAATCAAGAAAAAATAAGCCCAAGAAATTGCAGAGCAAAACCACCATGTCTTCCCCAAGCAAGCGCCGTGAGATGGACTTAATGAAACTGTAAAATTTTCTAATTATAATCTTATGCTTTTTAATTATGTTTTTTTAATATGAATTGTTTGGATGTACCTTTTTGTGATCAAATTTTTTTCTGGGATTTTGTTTTCTTGAACTAGGATGATGAGTGATTACAAGGTAGAGATGATCAATGATGGAATGCAAGGTTTTTATGTGCATTTCCATGGACCCAGTGACAGTAAATCTTCAAAACCCATGTCTCATATTTTCTTTTTTCTTTTTATGATTTTAATAGGAAATTTTGCTTTTTGGTTATTTGATTTTTGGGTTTTTTGGTTATTGTTGATTAGAATTTGTTGAGTGGGCTTGCGATTTATGAATTGATGCATCTGAATTATTTCTTGAAATGAAATTATAAAAAGAAGGAATCCTTTTTATCATTGTTTGCCTTTAGTTTTTTCTTATTTTAGCTTTTCTTAGTGTTCTTCATTTAGTCATACTGTTACCATTTTTGTACAACACCTGCAGATTTTTATATTTTTCTGCTGCTTGACCTTGATGAATGTACGGAATTATTAAGGACTTAGATGTCTACTCTGCAACTATGTATACAATCATGAAGAACAGCCATCCTGAAAACTTTGGAGAGTTTGCGCGTGCACTTGTTTGTTTTGGTCTTTTGCAATTTACTTTCTTTTACCTTGTTAAAGTGTTTTGAATGAAATTAGGTCCATATCATGGCGGTGTATGGAAAGTAAGAGTCGAGCTTCCAGATGCTTACCCGTACAAAGCTCCATCCATAGGATTTCTTAATAAGATTTATCACCCGAATGTTGATGAGACGTGAGCAATATACTCTTAAAGATCCTATGTTTTCCTATAAAGGAAAATTCATTGTCTTCCTTTATAATTTAGTTCTGATATTTCCAAATAATCAATTCAGGTCGGGTTCAATTTGTTTGGATGTTATCAACCAGACATGGAGCCCCATGTTCGGTAAGGAATATATGTATATTACGAAGGTACTTTTGCTAATTATTGATTGCTTATTTACTCTTCTGTTGAATCGATGTTTGCAGACCTGGTGAATGTGTTTGAAGTATTTATACCGCAACTTCTCTTGTATCCAAATCCAGCTGATCCACTAAATAGAGAGGCTGCGGCTCTTATGAACCGTGATCAAACTGCTTACGAGCAAAGAGTTAAAGGTATTAGGATGTTTCGGGAATTTATAAATAATCGAATAATCTGGCAAAGTTGAAATTCTATATCGTTGATTTATGCAAGTCTTTTTTCTTCCTGCATTTCTGTTTCATGATCTATTTTGAGGCTTGAATCTATGAAATTAATTAAGCATTCTTCTTATTCATGCTGATTCTTGATCAAGCCTATTGGATTGTCCAATTAGTTTTGAGTATCTAACTAATTGGACATTCGATATTTCGATTCACTTTCTCTGCATTTATTTACGACTCCACTGCACATGTTTAGGCTTTCGTAATCTGAGTGAAGAAAACACAACATTATTGTGATAATATGAAAAATTACTGCTTGTTCCTTCGTGTGGTCATATGCAAACAGTTATTTTTCCTCTCTTTTTTTTTTTTTTTTTTNTTTTTTTTTTTTTTTTGGTGCGGGTTACCTCATGCATGTCAGGAAGTTATTCTTCAGCAGGAGAAATCTTTTGACAGTTATAAGGAGAAGTTAATAAGGAAAGATGAAAAAAAACATGTTTAGCAAGTAATGAAAGCAGAACAATAGTGTTGGCATCTACCGAACTTTAGGCATTCTTTTCCAAGATTCGAGCATGTTGGGGAGGTGTTTATAAACTCTTTAAATTAGAAATAGATAGAAATGAGTGGTGGATAAGTGGGTAGGATTTGTGAATCCCTCGAAATGTGTGAATAAAAAGCGCCTTGAGTAATACACAGTTTATAAACATGAGCCAAACATATTGTAGAACATGAACTGCACAATATGAAGTCCTAAAACCAACTTGACCCAAAAGCTTAAGCCATTTTCGTGCATTTTTTGTCTATTTATTATCTTCACTCAATTTACTGAACGAAGGGGCCTAAAATGACTCATTTGGGCAAACCCAAAAATTATTGGGAAAGGGCTTAGTCTGCTGTTTTTTTTTTAAGCATTAGTACCTTTTTTAATTTGAAGATTAATTCATTAATCCTTCATAGCCGCCTCCAAGTTTAATGGTAATAGCATCTGAATAAAGATGTAACTTCGAATGGTGCTCTCAAGGTAAAGAATAGTGTCTCTGTCCATTCTTTTATCTTCATCCTCCGAGTCTACAATCACGCTTTTGACATGATTTCCTAGGATTCTTAGCTTTGAATACACATAGGAATCTCGTCTGCTCTGTGCATTATGGGAATGTTGAAACTGACCTAAAATTTATCTTCCAGAATACTGTCAGAGATATGCCAAGCCAGAAGATGTAGGGACAACCTCAGGGGAGAAATCGAGCGACGAGGAGCTAAGTGAAGACGAGATTGACTCTAGTGACGAGGCAGTTGCAGGGCCAGTGGATCCATAGCTCTATTCAGTCTCTTTAAGAATCAGTATTTTTACATTATGCACCTAGTTTCTGCTTGAAATTTACTTGACTGCAGATAAAATTATTCATTGGAAGGGGTGAGAAGAAAATTCATGCCCTTATGTAAATAGATGCAGCAATAACATGATGTGTTTCCTTTTTTACTACTAGGAAAAAAAAGTGGTCCAGATACCATGAGAACATGCTCTTAGTTTACTAAATTTCATGAACTTATTCTGGTGTAAATAAATAATAATGTTAGTGTGCTATACAATTATCTTTTCTAAAAGCTTAAATTGGCTAAGAGAGGACAAATTCATTCGTTAAATGTCATCTTCAATATGCCCTCATGCATGCATGGTGAGACTCGAACATGAAACATTTGTTTACCTGAATACCATGTTGAGCCACCCCTACCAAAAAGCTTAAATTGTTACAGTGAACAAATTTATTTATTTAAATGTCGTCCTCCACAATCGAAAAGTAAAATCACGTCAAGTCTTCCCCTTCTCAATGATTTCACGCCCGTCCATTCTTCCTCCACCCCAGACCTAATAGAGTTCCATGACCATCAGTGCCACTGCCTGCACCGCCGCCATGCAACACAATGATCACATCCGAACCACCAGCACATCACCATTTATTTGAAGATCAATAAAGGGATTAGAGAGCAGTTAAATGGTAGGCAATTCAGAAAAAAGGTTCTTATATCATACAAAAAGGACAGGTAAATTGTTCAACCATGTTAATCCAAAAAACACACAAGAAAAACAGTGCTACATCTACAAGAATCGCAATCCAGCACCATTATACAAGGCACGTAAACACCAGAGAATTGTTTTCTTCTTCGATTTTAAGGAACTAACATATAAATCATAAATGGCTAGGGGGCCTCCTCCCAACACCAGTTCTCGTCCTCTTTACAGGATTTGCCCAAGCAACAGAGCCGCCACTATTCTCAGGTTGGGGAGAAATGGAAACCCGTCCCTGTGGTTGGGTACTTTGTTGGCTCCATAGCACATCTCTCGTGCCTGAACTCGAGCCAGGACTTTTCACATTACGGCTAATTCCAGTGGGTGAAACCGGACCAGTCAACTCATTCCCGGACTTCACGGCCGATTTCTCTCTTTCTTTCCTCTTCTTCTTGCATATAACAAGGTCACCTGGATGAGTCAATGGGCGAGGTTCGTCCTTCTGTCCAGTCTCCAGGCTACTGCTACTTCCAAGCCTTGACTCCTTTTGAGGCATATAGCTTTTGACCTTAGTGCTTTCAACAGTATGAACGGGAATTCGAGCATGTGGCTTCTGGCGAGGACCTGGATCAGAGTCGACATCCTTTACTAGTTTTTGTCGCTTGCTTTGACCAGCAAGCACCTGCCTCGATGATGAACCAGAGACTGGCATAGCTACTTGGCTGGAGAAAGATATAGAATTCCTGGCCTCCCGAAAATCAGTGTCTGGAAATGCTATCTTCAAGATATCAAAGAAAAGATCGTGCACTTTTCTTGCTTCGGTTCTCACCTATTACAATGTATTCATAAAGTTAATTTAGCACAAATATTGGAATCTTTGCATAAATGCAGGTTATGTTTGGTAATTAGTAGTAGATACAACCGAAGTATATAAGATTAAATTTTTAGCCTCTCACCATAAAAAAATTAACTTCTCTTTTCTTCCTTAATATTGTCGAGTGCTACCCAATCCAACCTATCAAATATGCCAATAGGATAGGATGGGTACCACTAAAGATTTCTCTGTTTAATTTCCAATATAATTCACATAAAACATTCAGAGCTTCACGGATTCCATCATATTCAGGAGGAAAATTATGATTACCAAAACATTTTTTTTCACTTCCAAAGATCATGTTATTGATCTTAGAATTCTACATGGGTGAATAAATTTAAGAGAACTGAGACAGAAGAATGGCCCACTAGTTCTTCAAACTTTCGTCTTCTCATAATTATACTCTGTACTGATAGATCCTTCTTTTTTCTTTTGAGAGAGAAACAATGATAGAAATAAATACCCATACCTCAAATGAGAAAGCATAGTATTGCATCCCAAGCTTCAACATAAGCTGCACATCTGACACAAGCTCCATCACTCCGTTGTACTGAGATTTATCAATGCATAGATCGATCTTTCGTAGATCGAAAAGGCTATCCCCTGCCCTACCTACGTTACCGGAGTTTTCAATTTTTTTCCATAGCTCAGTTAGCAGGGGAATTATTTGATGCCCTTCCTTGTCTATTCTCCTTTGGAGCTTGCTAATAACATTCTTGCACTGTGATACATCAACATTTATATAAATTGCAACCACTAAGAAAGAAAGAAATGGAAGTAAAGATTCAAGGCATGCAGAGAAAGCGAAATGATTAAAGATAGAAAAAATGGGGATTGATGAAATTGTGTCTCAACTTGCCAAGAGATGCCACTAAGTTAAATAGCAACTGTACAAGGTGTGGAGGACATATAGAAAAATCTCAAATGCAATATCATAAATGTTTGATCCCCTGTCAAAACCTAAAGGAAATCGAAAACAAAAGAGAAAAGGACAACAAATACAACAATGCATACGGATGACTGTGTCCATTCAGATCCCATTCCGTTACTGAGCCAAGATATGAAATCAAAATCTTTTATCCATCACATTTTCAACCTTTAACTTCTTTCTCCTGAGGTTTTTAGGCCAAGACCGTTGATCAAGTTCAGAGTTTTGCACATATAATATTGGTAAGAACATTTTAGCCACCACACTGGATGACCTAAGAGTTTTGGGGCTTTCTATAATTGGAGGAACAAAACACGACAAAATATTTGGTTATAAGAAAATAAGTTTCATATACTAATAAACCTAGGACATTAAAAATTGTTATAGTTAGTAGGTGTCATCCTAAAATAAACTACCCTGAAACTATGATGCTCGGACTCAGGTACGAGTATCGGGTACGTAAGTAAGTGCCGGATCTTTTATATTCTAAAATGTAGGATACGAAGACATGACTAAAAATAGTTCAAATTTCAGACACGGGTACGTGGGTACGTCTTTCAAACTTCAATTTTTTTACTAATCCTAGATGTGAATAGACCAAAACTAATTATTCACAATGAAGGAAATTTGTATTAAATAAAGGGTTAAGATGAATAAAATAGAATTTTGGGGTATAGTTTTCAATTATGGGAATTACTAAATGTTATATAAAATAGATTGAGAAACTTGATTATAATTTGGACTTAGTGGAGCACTAAGTAGCACTATATAGAACTCATTTTTATTCTATACAAACAAAACCCTAAAACATCCATACAAAGAGGAGGAGAAAAAAAAAGAACGTAAAACCTAGTGTCGCCGCCTTTCTCCACCCTCTCGGGGACGACACTAGGTTTATGGAGAGCAAAAGTGGGAAAGAAGAAAAGGAAAAGAAGAAAAAAAAAAGGAAGGAAGGAAGAAGAAGCAAAAACGATGAAGTATCCGGTTGAAACTTGGAAGATCTGACACATATCCCATACCCATGTCGTGTCCGACACGGGTACTCCAACTATTTCGAAAAGTTCGAGCATCAGAGCCCTAAAATTCACCTTTACAAAATGACTCTTGTTACCTGTATAGGACTAGAAGATAAAAATCTTATTCCTTCCATCTCAAAATGAATGTCCTTCCCTTTGTAGGAAGTCTCATACTCAAAATAACATTTACTAACTGATGCTGAAAGTGGCGGAGAAAGTAGAAAGGAAAGAGTTGAGAAGAGGTGAAAAAAGAGAAGAGAGAAAAGTGACCATATACTTGGAATTTGATCGATGTTCAACGATAAAGAAATTATAATAGGAAAAATGATTCTTTATCATTTCAAAATTCACCTAGTCAGGCCACATCTTATCATGCTTTTCACCTTCTTTTAATGGAAGAGATCAGGTCCAATGTTTCATTTGTCATGCGTCAAGTAATACAAAAGCCTAAGACAGGTCTGGTAATTCAGTAAAGTCAAGCAGTCAATTCAGTAATCGACAGCACTAAACAAGTGCACTAAAGCACAACAGCTTAGTATTAAGCCGAAAACTGAATAATAGAATCCAAAAAAGTAACACAAGTCCTCATTTCTTAGTAGAGTGCAAACTGAATAATAGAATCCGAAAAAGTCTAGAGCTACATACCTTTCTCTGTATGACCTCAGACATCTTACCGCTACCAATTGTATCCCCTTTCATGACTTTACTATCCCAGTTCTTGCTTGGCTGTTCAGAAGCAGCTTCTGGAGGAATAGAAACATGACTTGCTCTGGCAGATTTTAGTGAAGCATGCCCTTTAGCTGTATTTGAAATTTTTTTTGTGGATAAATTTTGTCTATTATTGAAGGACGAATCAATTTTTCCATGCTTCAACAAACTAGGCTCTCCAAGAACTTTATGCTCACGGCCATCCCTTCCTTGCAAGTCGCGCTCTACTGAGTAAGGCAACCGAGAAGAATCCCCTCTTCTGAGAGATGACTTCTCACCATACATCTCTTCCGATGTCTCTGCAGCCTGCCTCGGACGACCTCGAAAACTTCGTTTACGTTTAATTTTGGGCTGCAACACCTGTTCATCTTCACCTTCATCCCGATCTTGGGTCCAACTACCAGATTGCTGGCGATCCATCGGAGAGTCTCCAGATCCAACAATTTCCCCTTCCTCTAACTCATCTACCTGGAAAATTAGAAAACAAAAACATTTCAGGTGACTCAATGACTTCGAGAATTAAGCCTTGAAGAGTCAGGATAGAATGTTACAAGACATACCGCCTTCTTTGAACGAGAACTGGACCTGCCATCTAAAGCAGAAAGTGATCCAAACTTCTGAGAAGAAGCAGAAGGTGAGGCCATTGGCATTAATCTTTGACCGTGTGAAGAAGACCCAGATGAACCTGCTTGTTCAAGTGCAAGATTGTTTCTAGTGTGTTTCATACCTCTTTGGTATCTGTATTCATCAGCAGAAACAGGATCATCCTCTTCTAACTTATCTTTATTTTCATCATTTTCAAACTCCCCAATTTCTTCTTCTTCTTCCTCTTGTATAGAATACTGATTCCTCTCATCAGAACTAGATTCGAAGAACTCATCATTTTCATCATATTCAGTGTAAATAGGAACTTTCCCCTTAGGTCTCCCTCGCTTTCTCTCCGTCCCAGAGGCCATTTCGCTGGAATTCATGCCAATGTTTCCTCCAAATAGGATATTCTTTGATGGTTTCTTTGATAAATTAGCAACAGTGGCATTCACTTCTTTGGTACCAGCACGAAGCCACTTCGGAACCTGATCGTATCGAGTCATTTCGTCTATCCAATCTAGTTCTTCATCCAACTGATCAAAGAGCTCCACTTCCTCTTCACTGCGAGCAATCATGCGATTTACCTCATGTAGTGAGGGAACGTCATGAACTGTTTCTTGGCATCTCTCGTCGTCGTGCAAAAGGGTTTCTAAGGTCATGCGTCTCTCTTCATGTGTAGTTCTCTGGTCAAATCGTCCAGCATTTATAACTTCATCAGCCATGTCAATTTTATACTGCTGGATATTATTCCGTATGAGGCTCTCGATTGAACCCATGTACCGGTCCTTGCCAGCAAGGTCATCATCTGAATCCACTAAACCTTCACTTCTGTATTCGTCCTCTTTCTGATGGCTTGAGATTTTGTCAACCACAGCTTCCATATAAATGACTTTAACTTCCCTCGTCTGCCCAATACGGTGAGCACGAGCAACAGCCTGTTCCTCATTTTTGGGGTTTGGATCAGGATCATATATGATGACTGTGTCAGCAGACTGAAGATTTAAACCCCTTCCAGCAGCACGTATACTGAGCAAGAAGATAAAGCAATCAGTACCAGGGCTGTTAAAGTCCATAATAGCAGATTCACGATCTTCTAAGCTAGTTGTCCCATCAATCCGTCTGTACACAAGTCTTCGCCATTGTAAATATTCCTCCATTATATCAAGAAGTTTTGTCATGGTACTGAAGAGCAGTACTCGATGTCCTGTTCTATGAAGTTTTATTAAAATTCTATCCAAGACCCACAACTTTCCACATGATCTCACAAGAAAAGCCTTCGATAAGTCACTAAAATATGGATAATTTAACAATGGGTGATTGCAAAGTTTTCTGAGCTCCATACATCTATTATTTAAAGGTTTGTATGTCTTAGCCTGGTAAACAGGATTCTTTTGAACTTTGCACTTTTCATCTTCTGGGTCAACCCGAAGAGTACCAGTGGATTTGATCCAGTCGTAAATGGCACTCTGTATAGCAGACATTCTACATTTCAACACAATTGAAACCTGCAGGTTCAAATCGCTGTAAGAAACAATCCACATCATAGAATATCTAGTAATATTTAAAAGACATACCTTGGGAGGAAGTGATCCTTCAACATCTTCAACACGACGCCTGAGCATGAAAGGCTCCAGAATTTGATGGAGCCTGTGGATAATGATCACCTTCTTCTCAGTTTCGAGCCAGTCATCCTCGGCATTGTGTGAGGGGCCTTCTTTTTGAAATGGTTGAGAGAACCAATCATGAAATGCTTTTCGATTATCAAAGACCTCTGGAAGCAGTAGGTTTAAAAGTGACCAGAGTTCTTTAAGGTCATTCTGTATACAGAAATATAATGGACATGATCCATTGAGGCCTTTGAAATAAACAGGAAAGGGTGCATTAACACAAAAAAGCTAACAGAACAATATCAGCCCAACCAGTCTCAAACAGTAATCCGTTGGCTCTCTTTTTCTAGAAAGGTCTTTGCTTTCCTTCTTTTCATGTGTATTATTAACCAATATAGTTCTCATTTGAGGTGATGACAGATCCAACGTTGATTCCACCTAGGATTAGCCTTAATTTCAAATATATGCATGTAAGCAGCCTGACGACTACAAATATTTTGCACAATGATTCTATGCAGTAGTTAGTAAAATGTAAACATATTCTCAGAAACTTTTCAACTTTTAAAGGTCAAATGTAACAAGTTAAACCAATAATAGTAAATCCATTTAAGGTAATACACATATGAAAACTTCATGTCTGGTACAGAAAAATGAGACTACTATATCTAAGGCAGTCTCAAACTCTCAGCAAACCTGTAATGGTGTTCCTGTAAGAAGCAAGCGCCTTTGGCAGCGATATCTATCAAGATCACGAGATAGTACTGATTCTCTATCCTTCATCCGTTGTGCTTCATCAATTATGATATACTTCCAATCAACTTTTGAAAGCTTTGAACGATCATACATAATGAACTCATAGGTTGTCACAAGGACATTAAACTTCATGGCTAACACTTCCTAAACAACAGAGATCAAGTGAAAATTATTTAACTTTTGTAGGCGAAATATTATCAAGCTATAATTTCTAATAACTAGGAGTTCATCTTACTTGAGAAAATAATTTTGACCTCTGTTCTTTCCCGCCAACATAGAATATGCAGGAGACAGTTGGCAGCCAATTGTGAAACTCACTCTGGAATATGAAGTAAATTAAACGTATAAAATAGAAGAAAATTCCACTAACAAGAATTTAGGATTTAAAAATTAACCAAACCTTCCAGTTCACAAGAACAGCATTAGGAACTATGATAAGATGTGGGCCATAGTTTCCTTTGAACTCCATCAAATAAGCAATTAATGCCATAACCTGCATAAGTAAGAAGAAAATGAACCTTAGAAAAATGTCCACAAACACTCTGGTAAAGAAACTTAAACCAAATTGTTACAAGAGTTAGAATAAAAAAGAAAATGATTTTAAAAAATTCATGAGAAAGAAAAGTGATTCCTCCATGTTGGCATAGAAAGTAGCAATCAAATATTAAAACCACCATTAATCAAAAACAAGTAACCTGCACAGTCTTCCCAAGCCCCATCTCATCAGCCAAAATTCCGTTGAGTTTGTTGTTATACAAAGAAAGCATCCACTGCAAGCCGACCTGTGGATTCAAGTAAAACAATACATCAGTAAGAACCAATCAAGAAAATGAAAAGGCGAATGCAAAACTGAGCAGATGACATCAACTCTAGAATGCGTAAAAGAATGCAATTTACAAGCTGATAGTCTCGTAATGTTCCAGCTCGCAACATTGAGGGCTGCCTTGTAACCCTTTCATTCACAGCATGTGCAAGGACATAATATCTGGTGCAAAACAAGAAGGCAAAGAGAATGTTACGTAAATAACATAATCATGCATCGCAAAACTCTATGTCCATTCGGCACTTCATATCAATAGCACAAAGTACAGCGTCCTGCTAATCACATTATGATTGTTCGCAATGACAAGACATCCAAATAGCAAAATGACATCATCAGTGGTAGTTGATTTTTAGCCCCCGTTTGGCCCCCATTATTTGCCATTATTGGAGATTATACTTTTTGGAATTGTTTTTTTTTTTTAAGAATGTGGTTGAAAATGAAGAAATTGTTTTGGGTTTATGTGTCAGATTATTTTATTAGAGAATGTATGGTTAATAAGAAGAGAGAAAAAAATGGATTATAATTTTAGTGGGGGCAAAACGGGGATTTATATTGAATATCCCTGAATACAATTATCACCACTTAGCCACAGACTTACTTGTTAACAGACGAGCTATCTTTTGGTGCATTCATTTCTGAGAACCTATTCCTTATCATTACTTCCTCCCTAGCACAGGTTGCTGCCGCTCTTACTTCTTCTTCAGTAAGACCCTTTTATTCAGAAAAAAACAAAAGATTAAAATTACAATGTTGCGGGTTTCCAGTCAAATGCATAACACATCCAACACAGACAAGCAGAGAAAATTAATAAATTTGACCACAGCTGCAACTACAAGAACCTGGGTGGAAGAAGGAAAATACAAAGAGCAAATTGGTAAATGGATCCCTTCAATGTGAGTCCACAATATTTTTAGCCCTCAATCATAAATGAAGACCGAGTCAAATATAAAGAAAAACGTTTTACTTTAAATATCTCATTACGACTCACATACAAAAAAAAGAATCAACAGAATTTTGATTAAAAGTTACAAATGTTATCTACGGACATTCCTGGGGGGAAATACAATTAATGTGCCTCTAATTGTCTTGATTCTACAGGCACAATAACGTCCCAAATCACACTCTTTTGACCAGTGAAATATATAATGAGGAGTCAGTCATTCAATGCATTTACAAGTCTTGCCACCAGACACGTGGTGTTATTCATTCCTGTCGGGAACAGACAAGCCTAAAGATGTGCCTTTTGCTTCTTTGGAGACTCTTTTGCTGAGGCAAAATAAAATCAAAAGGAACATATAGAAACAAAAATGATTTTTTCATTTTTGCTAAATAACCAAGAAAAGGACCCTTTTACATCTCCCCATCCAAATTATGATCATAATATAATTAAGCTTTTGTACTCAACTACCGCACTGTGTCATTAATTGATAAGTACACTTGATATATCGGTGCTTGGTATTGTAATAGGGGTGGGGGGAATATATATGTATTGAGAGAGAGAGAGAATGCCTGAGCACGTGCAGCAGCAGCTGCAGAATTGGCTGCTTCCTCAACTTCCTGCTGACTTTTAGAAGCTGTTATTTTACTTCCCAGTTTACGAAGATACTCTTCTGTTTGAGATAAAAATGATGCGAGAACAGTGTATCTTTCTGCAGCATCACCGGGCATGTTAGTTTGTTGTTCTAAGAGCATCTCTCTATATCTTTCTACATCATTATTCTTCAGTGCTTCCATCCTTTTATTACGATCATCATCTTTGCTCTTTGAGAACTCCTTTAACATCCTTTCATGATACTTATGAACTCCCCTATTGCGGGAAGTCCGAGCATCACGGATGCCCCAGTGAGCTTCAAGAAGCTTCTTACGCCACTGAAATATAGATTTCAATTGCTTTTCTCTGGTTGCTTTCTGCTTGATCTGTGATTGTCTGTTGAGCTCCTGACGTTGCCGCTCACATAGCCTAACAAATTTGCGATATGGTCTATCAGGCATTGCCATTATTTCTTCTTGTTGTTGCTCAATCTCATCCTTCAAGCGAGCCTGACGCTCTGCAAGTTGAAGTTTTTTCGACTCAATTTGTAGCCGTAGTACGAGATCAGGTCTGATCCTCTTTCGCTCTAAGTTCACAGCTAATATTTTATCAATCTTCTCTATTTTTTCTGCCCTTTTCCTTTTATTAGTTTCTCCACTTTCATCAATGATAAGATCCTTAACATCATATGCCAAAGTTAAATTATAATTGTTGTTTATCAATGATGATCCAAAAGATTCATGTTTCCTGGTGAAAACAGGGAAATCAAACAACGGCCCGTGATATTTTCTCGTTGAGCCAGCATTCTTAGGATGAGTCGTGTTGCCTGTCTGATCAGGTTTCTTAACCTGCAGCATATCCGGAATGGTAGACTGCGTGGCAACAGCTTTACCCCTGTCTGCAGCAAAATCACTCCTGATAGGAGTTTTCTCTATGCTCTGTTTGGCCTCCAGGTCAGATTTCCCGCAACATCCTACAGTTTGCCCCTCTTCTTTTCCAGGAGGAATCACTTCTCCCGGTTCCTTCATTTCAGTTGTAATACCTTGCATGTTAACAATTATGGAAGCTCCTCTATCATCCCCTAAAATTTCCTCCTTTGAAACATTTACACCACCAGCTGTCGTTACAGCCTGATGCACCTTCTCATTTGACCCCATATGTCTTGTATGCCCATCCACATTCTCTCCAGCTGATTTATCCTTATTTAAATTTCTTTCAGGAGGAAATACCTGCTGCATCTGCACCTCAAGCGGTGGAGGGATAACAGCTTGGAGCAATTCACGTGGCAGAGTTCCGTCTCCTTTCTACAAGCAGAACAAAGAAGATATGCAACAGAATATTAGAAATGCTAGTTGAAAAATCAACCAAACACAAGATAAAAGCAAAGCATGATGTTCAATTAGAACAAGGCAATGAGGAGAACGCAAATTTGAAAAAATGTTCAAACCTTCAAGCGCCTAAATGCAAGTATTTGTGCTTTAAGAACATGCAATTGTTGCTTTGTAAAACCGGTTTGCAGTTGGCCCATCCGAGGAAGTGGCCCACCCTGAGACGTAGACGGATTTCCCACACCCCCATCATTACATGAAGCTGCTGATTGTGAAGGGGATCGGTTAAGTTGCTTGGTATATTGCAACTGTGAAGCTTCAATGTTGAATGCAGAATTTTTTGCAAGGAATGAATTGTCCACTCCCTGTTTCAAGTTCACAGATGACTCTGCTGGATGCGTAGAAAGCATTCCATTGCCAACCACAGTGGCTTGTCTCGGGGGCAGTTGGTTATCTCTATTATGCACAGAAATGTTACTGGAGTTTTTCACGATATTTGAATTTGTAGATACGCTGAGAGGAGCAGCGGAAACCAACTTCCGAGCTTTATAAGAGCCGGATTGTCCCGATATATTGCTTGGGGAGTTACCACGGGGAGAACTTTCATTAGCAACTTGTGGGGAGTTGACCTGCTGTTTTGGTACAGATTCAGGACGTAAACCTGGATTGCTTTCATTTGGTTTTTGCTGAGCAACCATCCCAGACTGCAAGAAGGGAATAAGCTGTGCCATCATATTTGCATTTACAGGATTTGACAGGTCAATATTACGTTCAAGTGCTAAAACCTGCATCGCTTGCAATTGTGCAGCCATAGCAGCCGGGATGTTAGTCATGTTCATGATATTTTGCTGGGCCTGGCTCCCCTGCATAGGTATTACTGGCATTGTTTGACCATGAAACCCTGTCTGATCAGCAAGCTGTTCGGATGATTTCTTGGAGGAGGATGCCTGAGACTGATTAGCCGCTTGGATATGCAGGAGCTCTTGCATTTTCATATTAGCTGTATGCATATCTTGATCTGTGCCAAGAGAACCAAACATTCCCGGTATCATTTGGTGTTGCGATTGCACCCCAGCACCTGATTTCTGTTGAGCCGCCTGGAAAGCATGTTGGAGGTAAGCTTGTTGGATAGGATTTAACATTTGTTGCTCATTATCTTGACTCCTATTATGACCCTGCCCCGGAATGTTAGGAGGACCACATTGTTGGCCCGTGGCATTTATGTTCCTAGACTGCTGAGGTAATTGCATGGACCCAGTCCCCGCAGCGAAATTAACCCCTCTGGGGATCCCATGCACCTTGCCAGCTTGGTAGGCTAAAAGGGCTTCATTTCCTTCAGGTCTTCTCATAAATTGTTGTTGCAACGACTGCAAATGGCATAAGAGAGGTGGTGGGAATAAGTTATACACAGTTAGGTTCATTTAGATTCAAAAATATAACAAATCCACTGAACGGAACTTGCGAAGATTATAAAGGTGCAAAAATACAAAGCAAGTGCAGTTAAGTACTTCAAAGTCAAACAATCACCACAAAGCACAAGCATGATGTCATGTAGAAGAATCCAGTGCAGTTTTGTTTCAAACTTGTATATATGAAGGACATAATATCTCCAGTTTACTACTAATCAAGCACTTGTTCATTTTGTATTGTATTCAGACGTGTCTCTTTAGTAATGAATTTAGGGTCCGTTTGATTGCAAGGGTGGAAAGAAAATGAATTCCAGAGAAAATAATTGACTAGAACTTGTTTTTCGGGGGAATTGTTAATTAAGTGTGTTTGATTGGTATAATTTTCCACCCATAAAATTTTAAAATTTTAGATTTTTTATATTCGTTTGGCTTTGTTTTACATGAAAATTGTCCTTTAAAGTGATAATTTTTTCCACAATTGGTTATAACATTTGTTTCCATTGCCAAAAAAAAAAAAAAAAA